AGCAGACAGACAGTGAAAAACAACATGGGAAGGGAGAGTTGGTGTTTGTTTTAATTTCCAATCATCCTTATACTGTATAGTCATAGCGGGAAAATGCCTATATTCACACACACACACACACACACACACACACACACACACACACACACACACACACACCTCCCCACCAACACACACCTCCCCACCCACACACACTCCCCCCCACACACACCTCCCCCCCCCCACACACACACCTCCCCCCATCACACACCCCCACACACACACACCTCCCCCCACACACACAATCCTTGACCTAAATATTGACTACACTGTATTATTATTTAGAATCTACAAAATATTACATCAAAGACTCGTTATATAAATTTACACTACTGCATCAAATATTCTGATCGTCACTCACTATTATAATGGCAATACTGTTAATAAAAACTCAATATAATTATCATACGACTCAATTATATTTTCATTACCATAAAGAGTATTAAGAGATCTATATAAGAATTATTACTCGGAAGACATAAGCTTATTATACTAACACCACAATAAACATGTTTTAATACACAATAAACCCGGCCTCCTTTTATCACCTTAATACCCTAACTCTAAACGTACAGTAAATGGACTTATTGTTTCATGGACTAAATAATGTTTGTTGAATCAAGTTAACACACAATGACCTATGACCTATGACGGGTTCCCTGGGGCGGTGATTATAGCTTTAAAATTGTATAATCCTCTTTGACTTGATCATTTATTGTTCAGTGTTGCGTTGAGGCGACTAGTGTATTAAAAACAAACTCACTGCACGCCCACCTCTGTTTCTCCACTACTTAAAATATGTTAATATAATTTCTATGCTCAACTGAAATCCCATCAATAACCATCTATGTATCTTTATCGTCAACCTCTCTCACCCAAAACTATTACAGAAGCAATACAGAAGCAACACAGACATTCACTGGTGTTTGAATTACCTGCATAGAGGCAATATTCTGATTCATATATAAATACTTAAGATAAAATATAAACTTAATATCTACATCAACAAAATGTCTTATGTATATTTTTTTTCGTGATAAATGTTAACGATTTTTTCCCCTAGAACTGTCGATAAAATTCCCTGTACATAATATTTAATATGTGTGTTGTGTTCAGTTTTGCGTGTGGAATTTCCCTTAGAGCTGTGGAGGCTTATTAACAGTCTCTTCTCTCTTATGTTCACTTAAGACGCCTACCTCTGTTGTTTTCCTCTCCCTCAAGCTTGGTCCCTCAAGCTTGGTCCCTCAGCTTGGTTCATCATCTTGGTCCCTCAGCTTGGTTCATCATCTTGGTCCATCAGCTTGGTTCATCATCTTGGTCCCTCAGCTTGGTTCATCATCTTGGTCCCTTATCTTGGTCCCTCAGCTTGGTCTCTCATCTTGGTCTCTCAGCTTGGTTTCTCAGCTTGGTCTCTCAGCTTGGTCCCTCAGTTTAGTTCCTCAGCTTCGTCCCTCACTCTCACCTCTTCTTGCCGTTGATGCACCATGTGGCCTCTTTTCTCAGCTTACTCGGCCATCAGTTTTTTCTCGACTGCCTCACAGAGCCCCTTGAGGACTTTGTGAGACCTCAGATGTGCTCAACCGGTCATTCATAACCCGGGTCACCTCTGGCTTATGAAGCTCGTCTGGCCAAAACCAATGTCCAGCTCTACACACCGTCCCATTCTCTCTCTATCTTATCAGAACTAATTATATTTTATTTTTTTTTACCATTCCCTCCTACAAGAAAGCTTTTCCTTGTAGTCCTGATAATTTCTCTTACACAAACTCATATTTTACTCCCTAGGTAGTGTCTGTGTCCTGGTTTTGTGTATTTTCCTTGGTTTCATCTCAAAGAAAATTAATCAAGAGAAAATCTGGAACAATGACCCGATAATACGTCAACTGTCAATATTTGCTGCTGATCTTAAACTACAAAGTCAGTCTAATCATACCTAAAGTAATACCTGTACTTGATTTAATTTTACTATGAGTTTATTATACATTACAAATTTACAAACGAAACATGATATTTTTTTTTTATAAGTATTCCACTCCAAACATAGCACCTCAACGGGCATTTATTATGAGGTAATTATTTATTTTAATTTCACCAGAGAGCCTAAATGAGGAAGGCCCCGGGAACCTCAGCCCCTATTGGAGACCTAAGCAGCCCTAAAGACTTATTCACCCGCCCCGCCCAGCCCCGCCCCGCCCCGCCCCCAAAGCTTGAGTACTGAAAAAGCTCTGACTGAAACTCTTTAAAAACCCCCTATTTATATTTTCCTCGTTTAAAATGTTACTCCTAAAACACATTTACCAGCTTTTATTAATGTACAGTAGGGTCAAATTTCTTCAATAATGACGTTGTTTCAATTCGCAGTACACAACATCTTATAACAACACTATTATTGTTATTAGTGTATTTCGTACTAGACCCGTTGACACACTCCACCACTCACGTCCGTATAAACGATTTACACTGACCTACACTATTAAACGCAGGACGAGAGCAAAACGTTCTGATAAACACAACTTTAAATAATATTCTTGTTGCGTTAATAATGACATACATGATACAAGAACCTGACTTTAATTCGATGCTCGGATGTTGTGAGTTTATCATATCTGTCCTGACGGTAAAATGACCTCCACTCCACGAGCCATAGTCATCATATAGGTTACAGTTCTCCCGATAGTCTAGAAATAGGTAAAAGGAGAAGAACCCATGATGCTCCTCACACTCCTCAACTCACACGAGCAAGCAGGCAGGTATGTGGTGCAACTTGTCAACATTCAGTTAGCTATGAGAGCATCAAATCCTGCCGTCAAGTGTAGACCAGATGGTGAGGAGGATGTCGAACTGGTTGCTTGAAACTTGTATAAACATTTGTAGTTGAAAAATTTTTTGAAAGATTTTACATTAACATAACGACCTGTAGTGTGTCAGTCCCCCATGCTAACCTCTCATGCAAACGGGGCAGTAACCTCTCCTGCAAACGGGGCAGTAACCTCTCCTGCAAACGGGGCAGTAACCTCTCCTGCAAACGGGGCAGTAACCTCTCCTGCAAACGGGGCAGTAACCTCTCCTGCAAACAGGGGCGTAACTTCTCTCATGCAAACGGGGCAGTAACCTCTCCTGCAAACGGGGCAGTAACCTCTCCTGCAAACGGGGCAGTAACCTCTCCTGCAAACGGGGCAGTAACCTCTCCTGCAAACGGGGCAGTAACCTCTCCTGCAAACGGGGCAAGGTTCGATCTTCAGGTAGGGTAAATCTATGTGCCAGTGCCTCTATACACCGAGTGGTATTTCTGAACCTGAATGTTAATGGATTAGCGGTTGGCGAGTAGTCTAGTCTCCCTGGTTAATCCTTGGAGATGGCTCATATACCTTTGCTGACTGAAGGTGTGGAGGAGACAGTTTCTATACCTTTAATAAAATCACGGCTGAAGATGTGGGGGCTAACACCATTATATACTTCTTGTTCACTACAGGTATAGAACCTCCCATAACTCCGAGTCACAAGATAGATAATGTATCTAAAGTGCCCATTCGTATTCTTGGCTTCTGATCCAACAACGAACAAACTACCTTATTAGCTCCTGGATTTTAATGATTCTTAAGGTCAAGTAGTCTTATCTATACCAATCACTGCTTCAGTCTCTCTCAAACACTCTCCTGTAACAAACTTTATCATTTCTAACCCACCATGCTATCACAACGTATGAGTAGTGTCCCATTGTCTCCTTAGCCATCCACAGTATTACCAAAAGTCTGCTTGTCATCACCTTCATCTGGCCGACCCTCACTCCCAGCCTCCCTCCTCTGCCACCCGTCGTGAAGGGCCTACATATAATTATTCTACTGGTATGTTCTGGGTCGAGTTTAAGTCACCCCCTTGTCTGGCTATAGAAGCTTTAATCAATCACTACTCCACTACCCGTCACTACCACTTACTGTTCAAGCCCAGCACGCACTATAGCATTCTTCCGCCTCGTCGTTATCATTCCTTCTCTTCTCCCTAGTGGAAATCGTTGCCTCAGTCCAGAACAAGTCCATCCCTTTCATATACAGCAATGAATATGTTACACTTTTAACCTTCACAAGTTAGTGGTTGCTTTCCTTACAATGCACAACAATAGTTCTGTTCTAGCATATGTTACAAGTTCAGCTACAACGGTGAATAAATAAAGATAAATAAAATAACATAAATATTCTATTATGCTTGCCATCAACAATTAAAAACTAAGAGATACACTTCCACTGTACATCCTGATAGATAAATATTAAATAAAATTGTTATGAAAATTTACACTGATTCAACATGTTCGGTATATAACATGTGTCACCAAGGTGGAATTGTGGAGCTAATGCAAAGAGCCGCGAAAATACTGAAGGACTTCCGAACTGCGGCGGCCGTGGAGGCGGGCCGTGGAAGGGGGGGCGTGGAGAGTGGAGGTGGAGTCGGGCGTGGAGGCGGGCCGTGGAGGGGGCGTGGAGGGCGTGGAGGCGTGGAGGCGGAGGCGTGGAGGGGGCGTGGAGGGGGCGCGTGGAGGGGGGCATGTTAGAACAAAACTATTGTTGGGAAAGCAACAACTAACTTGTGAAGGTTAAAAGTGTAACATATTCATTGCTGTATATGAAAGGGATTGGCTTGTTCTGTACTGAGGCAACGACCACAGGTTTTAATTAGAACAAATCTCAGACAGTAAACAATGACGGTAGTACCAGACTCCATGTGGCCGCCATCAGCTGCCCGAAGGTTCACCATGAGAAGCAACATACGCGAGTCTCGTCAAGAATTACTTACAACGATAAGAAGATTTTTTAACGAAATCATAAGAATAATGCATGAGGATACAACGAAGGGAATAACAGAGAAAGAATAAGAAATATTCCAATAAAAATGTAAATACTTAATCTCAAACAATGTCAATTGACAGTGTTTATTATTTAGGTGTTGAGTATACTGAGTGTACTTACCTGGATGGAACCCCGCTGAGTGTCTGGCATGAGGAGCGCTGATGTGATGAGGTGAGCTGCGGCCGTGAGGGTGGTCAGCAGGAGGCAGGCTGGCAGGCGGAGAGGCAGCCCTACAAACACCAGGAAGTGTAGCAGTATAAGCCACAGGAGAGCTTCGCGTGGGATAGGCGTTGGAGGTCCCAGCGCCACAAACACTCCCACCCCAGCTAAAAATAACGCCCATACCACGTAGGGCAGTACAATCCAAGAACGTTCCGGGAAGACGTGGAGGCGACATAGTAAGAGAAGCACGAAATGGATGGCCCCGATAGATGCCAGTGTCAGGGAAGCAGGTAGGTAGGGCTCTTCGATGTTGGCCAGACACAGTGACACACCGTAGATAGCGAAGGTGGTGCCACCAGCCAGAAGAATGTGGAGGTCGGCGCGACGTTGCCGCTCGTGGTAAGCCTGGAAAAGCTGTTCCACATCTTTGTCCACAAAGGTGCGATGTAGGCACTTGGGGAGGATGCGGGACACGCGACGCTTCTCAAGAGCAAACTTCTCCATGCGGATGACGCTCATGGAGGCTGAGATATCGTCGTAACCCTCAACGCCCTCCTCCTCAGAGCCATCACTGCAGCTGCTGCGACAGACGCTGCCCTTATCTGTGTGTGGGGTAGCAGGAGACTGTAAAGTCATAGCTTCTTCTTCACTCATCCCTGGAGACGGACATGAAGCGCCGGGGCTGACTGCCTCATCGGACTGAGCAAGTCGCGTCTCAGGCGACGCGCTGACGTCATGAAGACTTTGTGGTCGAGGTGTTGGCTCGTAGCTCTCATTCTCATACTCTGTCTTCTGTTCATCAGAGAGGCAGGGGTCATACTCTCCGTCAAATGTCTCTTCTACTCCTTTACATCGAGTAAGACTTTTCCTGGCCACCTTCAGTCGCGGGCAGACGTCAACTGGCTCTGGCCTCTGGGCCTCTCGTACCTCCCACTTGACCTCCTCCTTCAAGATGAGCTTACCGTCCACGTCGTCCTCCATGGCCGCAGTTACTGTTTTTTACTTTATATCTTTCATTGTTTACGGACACTAATGACAACTCTACTATATGAACAACACTGACTTTCCATTTCTAATATCTGAGTCCAGTACACAGAGACCAGCGAGAGGTGTAAGTGTGGACGCCTCACGCTGGTACACTTACACCACCTTACTCTCTCTAGTAGTCAACGCACTGTTTTGTCTCGATTTTTCAGTCACCACTGCCGCCTCTGCTGAACTCTGAAACAAAGGAAAAAAAATATAAAATTAGTTTGTCTTTTCATCAACCTACAAAAGTCTACATTACTGATATATTTTTTTTTGGGGGGGGGAGGTAATCGTCTTATATATTATTATACACTAACACCGTAACAAACTAGCTCTCTCTTTCATCTACATATGCATAAGAGCGTCATCCTGCGCCAGTACAGGAGAAATATATTTTCATCTATGAATAATTATGTAAACTTCAAACCGTATAAGACTGCGGTGTAATAGTCAGCATGCTCACCTCTCAAACGAGTGGACCTGGGTTCGATCCCCGGATAGTGTGAAATTAGGGGCAAGTTTATTTACGCCATTTGCCTCTGTCTACCCAGCAGTAATTGGGGTCCTAAATGATTTGTATGAATCGTGTTCCGAGGTAATGGTTAGCCAGTGCAGTTGATCAGTTGCCCGGTCTTCTTGGGCTATTCCTTGACACTGGGTCATGCAGTTCGTTAACTCAACTCAGAGTGTGGTTGTGTGTTGGTGACAGCTTCTACACCTTAAACAAATTCACACCTAGGTAGCCCTCGGTCCGGCCTCGTGATTTTTTTCCTGCGGGCTTCCGTCATTTTGAACAAGCGGCAACGTCGCAGTGTTTGAAGCGCGGCACCACTGTACACTCCGTAAGAGAGAGAGAATAAGAGACGATCATTCATGCTTGGCTTAATATTGCATAACCTAACGTAATTGATACTAATACAAACAAATAATAACCTAACCTAGCCAGCACGGCCAAGATAGAACGAATTCTTTCTGCCACCAGCTGATTGTACAGTGGTGCCGCCTTTAAACACTGCGACGTTGCCTTCTTGTTCAAAGGACGGAAGCCCTCAGGAACTTCGCAGCCTGGCCATCCTCGAACAAGAGGAAACCATTAATTAATAAAACCACACCTCAAAACACACACACACACACACACACACACACACACACACACACACACACACACACACACACAATAAACGGAGCCTTAACAACACCCACGAGCCAAACATATCCTTTCTTACTTTACAGAAAATCATTAACAACAATACAACCAGAACCAATTGTATATATTCACCTAACATATCAAAATCTTTTCTGTTCTCGGGTTGTGTTTCTGAGAGATGGTGTTGAACATTTCCACAAGTTGCAGCGAATAATAACAACTTTTTCATAACCATCCACCAATTACGTACACTGTTATTCTCACTGGGGGGGAAAGAGAGAGAGAATGAGAGATAATGAAAGAAAGAGAAAGATTGAAAAAAAGGGGGGGTTAGATTAGGTTAGGTTAGGTTAGATTAGGATAAGATAGGATAGGATAGGATAGGTTAGGTTAGGTTAGATTAGGATAAGATAGGATAGGATAGGATAGGTTAGGTTAGGTTAGATTAGGTTAGGTTAGGTGATATATACCAGCGGACACCCATAATGGCACTTTAAATTTTATTCTTTCTTTTTTTTCTGTAAATTGTGATTTTTTTAATTAATATTACTCTATATTTACATGTCTAGTGGTATATGACAACTGTTAGGCCTGGCTGTGGTTAAGCTATACATGCCCAGTACTTGCCAACAGTGAGTAACAGAGACGTGACCGACAGCCACACAGACCGATAAGTGACCAAGAGGATAAAGTACCATGGTCTGGTATGGTGGCTGAGTGAGGACTTGGTGAATTAATTTGCTATTTATATCAATTATCATCTAAGATCTCTTTTATATTTATAGACTATTTTATTTTTATCTATAACAGCTATTGAAGTAAGCTTGTATTTATATTCCACTGACTGACTGACTGACTGACTGACTGACTGACTGACTGTCGTTGGATGGAGTTAAGAGGTCACCTTCTGTGTTGGGTAGCAATATGTCCAGCGATAAGCCTGGTTAAGTCTGGTCACTGATCTAAGGATTTATACTGTTGGCCAAGTTAACACCGGCTCCATCTGTAGTTTAATTTAGCTTTTAATTTAATTTATTTACTCATTGTTTGGTCATATTTTATTAATTAACTGCTATGGCGTGAAGGAAACATATTTCAGATTCTCATTAATAGGTATATACGTACATACACATTATACATACCTTAACGTACATATATACACACATGTAAGGATTAAAAGTAATCCCTGGTCTACTACGAGAACAATGAAACGTAATCCTACAAAACATACTACCGGATTAGGTGGATTAATGAACGTTGTGATGAGTAAAGGTGTTGGAGCAGGTGAGGGTTAAAGTTACTGATGGGAGAGGGAGAGAGAGAGGGGAGAGGGAGAGGGAGGGAGAGAGGGAGAGAGGGAGAGTGGGAGGGAGAGAGGGAGAGATGGAGAGAGGGAGGGAGGGAGAGAGGGAGAGAGGGAGAGGGAGGAGAATTTATGAGGTGGCCACTGAAACTCGGCCTCACACCTGACATGTTGAGATTAAAGCAGATAGACGTGAAGGGAGACTGGTTTGGCCATGATCAACCCCCGGCCACATGAGACGCCTACACACACACACACACACACACACACACACACACACACACACCTGTTGATGCTCCCACACACACCCACACACACACACACACACATTATACATGACACGACAAGCTTACTTCACCTCAGGCCTAACCTAACCTAATTTAACCTTTCACATTTTCACACCTCGAGTCAGGTTGAGAGGTTAAATACGCTGTTCTATCATCACCCAACAGAGGTCATCCATCATCATCACCACCCAACAGACATCACCCATCATCACCACCACCCATTATATTGCTCCCTCGGTAGTACAGTCAATATTAGCACTAGTATATAGAAAATAAATAGACATTACTGAAGACTATCTCGATTTTAATAGCAAGTTAAAAAATGTAGCTAAAAACGAAGCTTGTTCCTCGTAAAAGTATAAACGTCAAGAATGGGTTGTTTAGCAGTGTCATGAAGCGGTGTTGTGAGAGGTGGAAACAAGAATGAAAAATATACAGAAGTTTAAATTTAGTCGAAAATGAATAAGGAATGGAAATGAAATGTGAGTTAGCTGCTGTTTACAGACGATACTGATTTAGTGGAAGAGAACATACACCTGTTAATGAATGAGCGGAAAGGTGAGTGAATGTTAATGAATGTCAACCCAAAAAAAAAAAGATATGAAATTAATTGGAGAAGGGAGACACGCTGGAATTAATTTTAGCTTGAATGGAAATGGAGTTGCTGTGCTGATGTTTGTCAAGTATCTGAAAGTGGATGTTGTAGACTAATATAAATGAAAGAAATAAGTTACTACAGAACAACACATCGGGTGAATATAATGTAGAGAATACAGAAAAGGCTGCGGGTCATTAAGATGGTGAAATATACAGTTCGTCTCCCGTAGCTGTAGTTCACCTTCAGCGACGCCTGCGGGAGCTATGGAGTACTGTGTCAGCTTTGGGTCCTGGGCGGGTTTACGATAACATTCACATAGACGATATAAACCCGTACGTCAACTCTGTACAGTGGATTAGATTATTATTTACATATACTCCCCTATAACAGATGCTAGTAGTGTTTGACTTGTAATTATAACCAAAAATAACCAACACTAGACTTATGGTTGTTGATAATACAAGTGTTGTAATGGTAATGAGGTGCTGACAGGTGGTGGTGTTGACAGTGAGGTGTTGACAGGTGGTGGTGTTGACAGTGAGGTGCTGACAGGTGAGATGCTATTGGGTGAGGTACTAGCAGGCGGTGGTAGTGGTGCTGCTGCTGCCTCCTGTACTGAACAAATAAAAAAGCCTCATGGTTGAACGTGCTGTTATGAGGCGATAAATCCAATTCAAGACAGCGCGTTGCATTACCACGTCCTGCCAACACGGGACTTACCCAGATTGTCCGGGATTAGTTGTAAATAAACGGTGCGATATGCAAGACTTACACGAGGTATGTGAAAGGTGAAACATCAACAGTATTGACTGACTTCAAAACCATCTTGTTTCACTGACTAAATAAAACATAATTGATCGAGATTTCTGGCGCCTTGGTAAACACAGACCCCTCAGAACATACTCCAGGAAGACGTGAAACTACATTGCCATCAAGCCAGACGTCATACTCAAGAGATAAGATGAAGTTACTGGTAAGGACAGGTAAACTCCTTCTCCTTACCTCGACCGACACAGATTGAGTAAAAGGTATTCCCTGTGGTAACCAAGAAAGACGTACAAAATAATTAAGGCCACCACACCATATATTGTAAGTACTGGGGTGTGTGTGTGTGTGTGTGTGTGTGTGTGTGTGTGTGTGTGGATCTGGTGTCTGGTGTGGACCCGCATCAGACACAGAGGATATTTACACAACACAAGACCCTCAGATGAAAATTATCACCACACATTCACTTAATACATGATTCAGTCTTATGCATCTACTAACATCAGTCCATATCAGTCAACCCAACACTTTGTACACACGAATAAACTAATCAAAGTTCAATCATATAAACACATAACCAATTAAGGATAACGAGGTCATTGCTATTAATTAAACGTTACTACTGTAGTCTTACCCAGCAACAAGATAACATAGGCCAGAGGTGAATAAGAGCGTCTGGTTGTTAAAATGTGGACCACCAAAATGAACTACGCAAACCACAGTGGAAATATTATTTACTTTTAGATGAAACTGTAACAAAATATGACTTTGGGTGACTGACCTAATGGGTTCCAGCACCAATAGCTACCTAATTAGCATAACTTATCCTTTATAATTTGGGCTTTGGGCACTGTCCTAATAGGTACAACCCTAATGGGCCCACATCCCGTCGTACACACACACACACGCACACACACACACACACACACAGTAAAGATTGTAAAGTTCATTAAGTATCGCACGAATGATATAAATAGGTCTTTTACACGTGTGGGCGTCAGGTGGTTCCCGGGTATTGGTGAATGGCAGAGGTGATAGACGTAGGAGTAAGGGAGAAGGGAGTAAGGGAGTAGGGAGTAAGGGAGTAGGGAG